AGTATTTTGATGAGTTTCTGTGCCATAGGTGGTCGGATAGCGGAATGTCGTAGTCACGTCTGCCGAATTTGAGGAACTGCTCTTAGGATAGGCTTGATACGATAGTGGTTTCATTCCATGTGCATGACTGATCCTTCCATACCACTTTTTTATTCGACACTTCTTTCAGCGACAGGTCCATGAGGGCACCCGCTACATTTTATGCGGTGGTACCGCGTAACAAAAATCGCTGAAAAACGTCACATTGGCCGCGTCTCCCCAACTGCATTCGAAAGTTTTAACCTACAATAACTTCCTTAGCAAAGATGTGATCCTGTTTGTGCGAGCTTTGATACAAAACGTGCTCCCCTAGGGACAGCTCAAAATGCGTCTAGATATGTTCCATGGTGATGCCTTGGTCCGCCCAGTTGCTCGGGACACAGATGGTGTATTTCTCGTACACCTGGGGCTTCTATCGGGGTCTCATTTACAGCTTGTTGGACTTTGTACCTCAGCCCGCTGCTCTTCGGTAAAGGCGCACCACAACAAAAGTGCATGTCATTTCATCGTCTGGTGAAAGACGAAATGAAGACAGACTGTCAACAGCTGAGTGCCTGCATGGTCATATCTGAACATGCTGGTTTTCCAGATTGACAGTTAAGTAAGTAATTCACACCTAAATAGTAGGATTGAAAGACGATGTCTACGTAGCATTTCCTGAAATGGAAGCCATCTCATGATGACTTCCAAAACTCTTTGTCTGCACAGCACTGTACTGTACTTATATGAATATTCAGTCAAGGCGCATTTGTGGAAGCAAACGATGTTGACATCCTAATGGATACGGCGGGTGCGTGGTGGGCTACGTGTTGTGTGTGCTGGATTCTATCAGAAGCAGTCTCCAATGAGCGCGGGGTCAGCACAACGTAGCACAAACGATTTGTGCACAAGGTGTGGAATAGCTCCCACAGGCTGTGTGGAAATCATTGACGAATCATATTAGAATTCAAACATTCTGTTGCACCCACAATGAACAAACTTTATTTTCAACTCTGAATTGCTTCTTGGCGCTCTAAGGAAGCCCTTCTTTGTTAACGATCGTGCTTGGCAAGGAAACATAGATGAAAAACATTCATTCGATGCAGTGGACAGTGCAGACATTTTTTGCAGCTTTCATCAAGCCACGCTGAGGTAGTTTTCCTTGAATCTGCAGTGGACCGCCGATTTATTCAGACAAGCAGTAGGCGGCAATATTTCTTTATGACGAGAACTCTAAGTTAGAAGTGAAGGTTTTGGAGATGAAATACTTGGAGCGAGTTATTTAATGACAGTTAGCACTCCCGCCTTCCCACGACCCTGCAGGCCTAGTCAAATATTTTTGTTACATATGTGGAAAGGTTTGGCATCGCTTCCTTGTCCTTGATGCATCCTCCTTATAGCCAGCCGTTTGTCCTTGGTGTTAGTATTTGCCTCCACAGTTTTGTCTTCCAAGTTTGGTGATAGCAGCATTTACCACTATCGTATGCTAGCCCACTTTTTGCCTCATACCGAAGGATAAACTTTGCGTACATGGTGCAGCGCAAATAGCTAGCCGTGGGCAAAGAATTCAGTAAAATCCAGAGGGTTCCACGATAATAAAGAAATAATAGGTGTAAAATTTGAAGAAATGTTTCTGGCACGTCGTCACTTGGTGGAGTATGCAGATGCGCCCACGTGTAGTTTCAGCTATTCTTTGTTTATTTTTCCTTTTAAATTTGGCGGTAGGCTTACAAGGGGTACTTTCGGTAGCAGTGATTTTGATACACGCTGGCTGTTGCGAGGACGCGGAGCCTACTGCTCGAGACGGGTGCTCCAGTCGGCGAGCAATTTTGGCGGAAAGATGGCATGGCCTTCCCTTGCGTGCCTGGCCTTGTTATGCCAGTTCTCAGTTGGCCACTTCTGGCGGGCCAACTAATCGAGCGTTTTTTTCTGGTAGAGCTCACATGGCCCGCCACTCCAGCGGTTATGTGTCAGGCACTACTGCGGCTCGGCTACGGGAACGACGCTTGCGAAGATGACGATACCCTCTTAGCATGTCAAATTGAGTGAGCGCTGTCGGAAACAAGTATGTCATTTTCCATAGCGAGCTGTGAATCTTCTCCATCATTGCCGCGCTTTGTCCGTTCTTGATGGTGGTGACACCAATAAAACTCCAGTTTGATGATGGATGATGACTTTAGGGAGCTTCGGCTTAAAAAAGGTCTCCTACGAACTCAGTTCACTTTGGCATCAATGTGATATACTGAAAAGCAGCGAAGCGGTTTTCTCTTAATTTGTATTTTTTGTCTTTGGAAATGTTTGCTCCTCCCTGTTAAGCTTTGGTAAGTCGACATGTGCCCATGTTGCCGCAGCTCGCTGTGTACCACTCGCGATATTGGGACTCTGCTAGCTGCCATCAACGGGCGCTCACGGGTGGGGGCCAGTTGATCTCCCGGATGTTTTATCGGGAAAAAATCGAACGCCGCGGGGATACCGCGACAAACGTTCTGTAGCTGTAGCACACTTGAAGAGCGGACCTAGAGAGAGAGAGAGAGAGGAGAGAGAGGGGGAGAGAGAGAGGAGAGAGAGAGTGAGAGAGAGATGAGAGGAGAGAGATGAGGAAGGGGAGAGGAGGGAGGGATGGGAGAGAGAGAGGGGAGAGGAAGGAGAGAGGAGAGGAGAGAGAGAGGGAGAGGGAGAGGGAGAGGGAGAGGAGGGAGAGGGAGGGGGAGGGAGAGGGCGAGGGCGAGGCGAGGGCGAGGGCGCGGGCGAGGGCGAGGCGAGGGCGAGGGCGAGGGGCGAGGGCGAGGGCGAGGGCGAGGGCGAGGGCGAGGGCGAGGGCGAGGGCGAGGGCGGGGCGAGGGCGAGGGCGAGGCGAGGCGAGGGCGGAGGGCGAGGGCGAGGGCGAGGGCGAGGGCGGGGCGAGGGCGAGGGCGAGGGCGGAGGGCGAGGGCGAGGGAGAGGGCGAGGGCGAGGGCGAGGGCGCGGGCGAGGGCGGGCGAGGGCGAGGGGCGAGGGCGAGGGCGAGGGCGAGGGCGAGGGCGAGGGGCGAGGGCGAGGGGCGGGGCGAGGGGCGAGGGCGAGGGCGAGGGCGAGGGCGCGGGCGAGGGCGAGGGCGAGGGCGAGGGCGAGGGGCGAGGGCGAGGGCGAGGGCGAGGGCGAGGGCGAGGGCGAGGGCGAGGGCGAGGGCCGAGGGCGAGGCGAGGGCGAGGGCGGGCGAGGGCGAGGCGAGGGCGAGGGCGAGGGCGAGGGCGAGGGCGAGGGCGAGGGCGATGGGCGAGGGCGAGGGCGAGGGCGAGGGCCTGAGGCGAGGGCGAGGGCGAGGGCGAGGGCGAGGGCGAGGGCGAGGGCGAGGGCGAGGGCGAGGGCGAGGGGCGAGGGCGAGGGCGAGGGCGAGGGGCGAGGGCGAGGGCGAGGGCGAGGGGAGGGCGGGGAGGGCGAGGGCGAGGGCGAGGGCGAGGGCGAGGGCGAGGGGCGAGGGCGAGAGGCGAGGGCGAGGGCGAGGGCGGAGGGGCGAGGGCGAGGCGAGGGCGAGGCGAGGGCGAGGGCGAGGGCGAGGGCGAGGGCGAGGGCGAGGAGGGCGAGGGCGAGGGCGAGGCGAGGGCGAGGGGCGAGGGCGAGGGCGAGGGGCGAGGGGCGAGGGCGAGGGCGAGGGCGAGGGCGAGGGCGAGGGCGAGGGCGAGGGCGAGGGCGAGGGCGAGGGCGAGGGCGAGGGCGAGGGGCGAGGGCGAGGGCGCGAGGGCGAGGGCGAGGGCGAGGGCGAGGGCGAGGGCGAGGGCGAGGGCGAGGGCGAGGGCGAGGGCGAGGGGCGAGGGCGAGGGCGAGGGCGAGGGCGAGGGGCGAGGGCGAGGGCGAGGGCGGGCGAGGGCGAGGGCGAGGGCGAGGGCGAGGGCGAGGGGCGAGGGGCGAGGGCGAGGGCGAGGGCGAGGGCGAGGGCGAGGGCGAGGGCGAGGGCGAGGGCGAGGGCGAGGGCGAGGGCGAGGGCGAGGGCGAGGGCGAGGGCGAGGGCGAGGGCGAGGCGAGGGCCGAGGGCGAGGGCGAGGGCGAGGGCGAGGGCGAGGGCGAGGCGAGGGCGAGGGCGAGGGGAGGGCGAGGGCGAGGCGAGGGCGAGGGCGAGGGCGAGGGCGAGGGCGAGGGCGAGGGCGAGGGCGAGGGCGAGGGCGGAGGGCGAGGGCGAGGGCGGAGGGCCCGGGCGAGGGCGAGTGGGGGAGGAGGGCGAGGGCGAGGGCGAGGGC